GAGCATGCACATGCCTGCTTGTAATATTATCATAATCAAAAGAGCGACTTATGATCATTGAGCTCCTTTATATTCGTTGTTTTGCACATACACGTACATATAAAGATAGATAAGGTGAACTGCTTTTTTCTTTTTTTTTTCTTCTTTTCTTGTCTAATTGCAGACGATCGTAATGCACGAGTGCTAGATGAAACATACTTATATTCACACACTTTATTCCATATCTTAGGTGATAATCATCAAAAGAAGGGAGTGAGCTAGAGGCAAAGATTGCTTATAAGATCTTTAACTATTTGTTAAGAATTATTATTATCAATAATTCTAATCGAATATGTTATTTATGCAAATCTATAACTATAATAAAAGTCATAAGAATTGATTTCTTTTTCGTGTTACCTAGAGAATTCATTTGTCATTCCTCTACATCAACAGCTTGCTCACATTTTCACGACAAGACAATGAAATTTATTCACACCTGAACGATGTATAGTGTGAGAAAATCAAATTTTCACGGCAAGAAAACAATCAATTATCAATTGATGACATGACCACATACATATATATATATGTATAGAAAAAAAAAGGTGGAAAACAATTTTCTTTCCTGAATGTATTATTCTCATGACAAGTGTATAACTCATCATATTGACTTCTGGTAAGACATTAGCTTTAAGGCATAAGTTTGCTTATCAAGTCATTCGATCATTAGTTTCAATACGTCACTTCATATTGAAGTAGAGAAGACGAGACATGACGAGATGGAGATGTCAACTAATGTAGATGCGGAAATGATTGTATTGGCCTTATCATTATCACTGTTGTGATATTGTATCGTTGATGTACATCTTTCGATTGTTGAGAACAATTTGTTCCTCTATTGTTCTCATTTTAAACATGCACATATGTATATCTATATATACACATCCGGACGACATATAAACTTCCTACTATTGAAACTACATATCTCCTACTGTGAGAATCTAATTTTTTTTTCTTCGAGCAATATGTCTCGAAAGCCAAAAAAAAGAAAAAAGAAAATGAGAGAGAGGGGGCAAGAATGGGTGAACAGCATCTCTAATTGAAGTGACAGTTGACGTAAGTGTATTGCAACTTGAAATTCATCATGTATTCTGCTCATTCTTTTTCCTATTGTTCTTAGTAGTTAACTGAAGAAGAGTGACCATACGACATACGATTACAAGAAAATTACAGAGACCCTTCTCTCACGAGACACAAAAGCACAAAATTAATGAGATGGAATTTGTATGTGTCGTTTTTTATGCTTCTTCTTTTTTTTTCTTTTTGTTTCATTCGTAATAGAGTTCAACATAGTCATCATCATCATCATTTTATCTAGTTTTCACATAAATATGTGATCTTCTTTCTAACCATATTTATTCTTTTCCTTTTTTGCGTATCAAATGTTGATCATATGGTACACCTGCTAATGACCTTTCGAAAGAATCTGATTCGATTGTGTAAGAGATGTATATATTAGTCCAGAAAAGATCAGAGCTCAGTCAGTGGCGGGATACCATTTATAATGATCGATGGGTGCAGACAAGCCGGGTGTCACCTATCTTCTCCATTTTTTTTTCCGGAATGATCATGATGATGTAAAACAAGGCGACGACGTATGCGCGCTGTTTGTACACATAGATCTTATATTTTCTCTTTCTTTAGATAGAGATAGTAGATAGAGAAAGAACAAGAGTCAAGCCAATTGCATTTTTCTCTTTTCTCCTTCTCCCTCTCTCTCGCTCGTTGAACGTGCTAGAATAAGAGAAAAGAAAAAAAGAGTGTTCACTTTGAAATCAAATATCACTCAACAAGCTGCTGTATTTTCTCTCTACATACTTCAACACTTCTCGAAAAGAATGTTGCTACTGGTATAGCAAATCTAATCAGTAATAAAGGTGAGATAAAAAAAAAGACGAAGAAGAATAATTTTCATCACATTCGAGATTCCATTGCGATTGAAAATTAAGCCAGATGGTACTTTTGACTTTTTTATTTCTATTAATGATTCATTGATCATTCCGCAGCTGTTTTTAAATTCTTTTAGATTTATAAAATAAAAGAAAATGTATATTCAATTGATCTTAATGACTCTTATCCCTATTCATTATTGCCAAATAGATTTTCAAACGATTTGTCAAGCCGGTATTCGACAAGATAATACAAAGTAAGATCATAAAATATTTCCGAAGAAAAAGAAATTCTTATTATTAAATTTAGTTATATTCATTGTGGTCGTAAACAATTAAGTGAAGTACCAAATTTTTCTCGTACAACAAATACAGTTTATGATGAACTTGTTTTAAATGATAATCAAATAACTTCAATATCACGAAATGCATTTCAAGGTCTTCGTGTAAAACGTTTAAATTTATCTGGAAATAAAATTCGTTCAATTGATTCACGTGCATTTATTGAATTAGCAAATTATCTTGAAGAATTAATTATTGAATTTGATTCAACTATTCTTCATGAAATACCCGATGCTATTCGAACAAATTTAATAAATTTACGTTCATTAAAATTAATCAATCTTAATTTAACTATTTTACTTAATCATACATTTATAAAATATCGTAAATTAGAAGATTTATCCATAATAAAATCGAATATAAAATCAATTGAATCCAATGCATTTTATTCCTTAAATAATTTACGTTCATTACATCTTGATCATAATCAATTAAGTGATTCAATCTGGTTTGATTTAACAAAATATTTACAAAATCTAGAAATCTTAACATTAAGTCAAAATAATTTTCATTATTTAAAAGAAAATTTTCTTTCGAAACATTTAAAAATTCTTGATCTATCATCAAATGGTATCCAAATCATCGAAAAGAATTTTTTCGAAAATTTATCATTATTAGAAAAACTTTATTTACAAAATAATGAAATTAATTCATTACAATTAACATTTTTAACATTATTAAAACAATTAAAAGAATTAAATTTAGATTTTAATCGTTTAACATTTCTTCCGGAAAACTTGTTTCAATTCAATAATAAACTTTTATATTTATCATTACAAGGAAATGATTTAAATTATTTAACAAATAAATCCTTCTTTGGGTTAAAATATTTAACATATTTAAATTTAGCACGTAATCGTTTACAATTTCAAATCAATCAACAACCATTTCAACATTTAAATTCATTAGAAATATTAAATTTAGATCGTAATATACAATTAAATCTATCGAAAAATATTTTCTTTGGTTTACAAAATCAATTAATTGAATTATCATTACAAAATTGTAATTTAACAACCATCGATTCATTAAATAATCCATTTTATTTATTTCATAAACTTCAACGTTTAAAATTATCATCAAATTATTTTCAAGAATTACCTAATGAATTCCTCATACATTTAAAAGATTCATTAATATCCATTGATTTACAAAGAAATGCTTTACGTACGATACCAAATTTATTTGGTAAAAATTTTAATACATCAAAATTAACAGATTTTGATTTAAGTTCAAATCATCTATGTACATTAGATAAATTCGATTTATATCAATATAAAAATTTAAAAACAATCGGTTTAAATGGTAATCCATTACATTGTGATTGTCAATTAATATGGCTTAAACAATGGTTAATAAAAAATTATGATTATGATTTAATAAAATTTCTTCAATGGACATGTACAACACCGGCGAAACTTTTTGGAAAACAATTAACAATTATTGATGAACAAGATATGATTTGTAATGAAAATGAATATTCCAAATGTAATCAAAATAAAAAACATTTTTTTAATAGGTAAGCTTCTTCCTCATAAAATTAATTGAAAGGTAATACAGACCGGATTCGGAAATAACATATTATTCAATGTGCAAAAAAATATATTATTCCTACCAAAATAGAATCAAAAACTTTCCGTTTCCGGAGATTTTACTAATCATATGATAGAAACATTTTGCATCTGCTATATAATTCAATCTCATGTTAGATTTTATTCCCATTGAGACTATTTCTGAAGGTTATTTTTATTATGTAGATCAACAAATACACAATCGACATCCATTAAAAGTACAACAATGACAACGACGACGACGACATTACAATCATCTTCATCATTTAATGAATTAGTAATCAATGATATATCCTATAATCCAAATGGTATGTTAACTATAACATGGGAATATATGTTATTAACATTACCACGATATATACATTTACAAATCTATTATGAAAATAATCATCATGTTATATTACAACGTTTAATTGATGGTGAACAACGTTCAATTGAAATTGATATTAAAGATTATTTAAAAGAATATTCATCAATATATATGATTTGTCTTAATATTCGACATAATAAATATTGTCGTAATATACAATTAGAACAAATAAAATCTTCATCATCAATTATTCTATCATCAAATACACAAGATAATTATCAATCATTACAATTTTTTTATCTTCTTGGTGGAATATGTCTTGGAGCTATACTTGTTTGTATTATACTTATTATTGTTTGTTGTTGGCGTATACGTCGTATATCAAGAGAAAAATTATCAAATTCAATTGAAAAATTACCAACAAATACTTTATATCATCCACCACCACATTCATCAATATTTTATCGTCCATTAAATATTATAAGTTACCCACAACAACATCAACAAAGTTGTGATACAAGTGAATGTTCAATACATTCATCGACTGATACAAGTCAAATAGCAAGTGATTCTTATCATATATATCAACAAATACCATCTGTATATAATTGTCAAATACATCCGACAAGAACACATATTCTAATATAACGAGAAAAAGAAAAGAATTTAATTTATATCTATTTTTTGCTTGGGTGCAATAATTATTCGTTTTCATTTTGCTTTGTTGAACAAGTCAATATGTGTGTGTGTATATGTGTGTGTTGAGTTTTTATAGTAATAATAATAAAAAAAAAGAATTCTTTGTCATGAGAAGAAAATGAATTATAAACGGAAATCCTTTGACGCATGCATCAATGTTTTAATATACATTTCAAGGTTGATTTTTAATGTATTAAACAAAAGAATGTATATCTACTCAGATTTCTTTCATGCAATAGTAACTATCTTTTTCTTTTTGTTCTTAGTATATAATTATGTCAGATTTCTTTTAATATATTTAAAGATTACAATAGAACAAAATGCTTGAATGTCTATTAGCAGAAGTATTAAATACCGCTGACCTTTTCCTCTAATAAATATATATATATATATGTGTGTACATATTTTCTATGTATAGACATAGAGTGGAATGAAGCTTTAGGGCGATTTATCGTTGTCTGAAATTAACGATTTCCGTGCGCGCGTGTGCATATATGTGCGTGTTTGTCAATGTCTTGTTTTTGCTATTTCCTTTTTGTTCAATCTCCTCCTCCTTCTTCTCATTTAACATATATATGTACGCCTCGATCACAATTAGAAGCACATCTGTTGAATAAACAGGCGACGACTAAAAAACTTTCGAAGAATTTATATAAACATGCAGAAGAATGATAATAAGAAAGCTCAAGGCTATTTGTGCATTTCTTTATTCTTTTCGTCACAAACATAACATTACTAAAAAGTATTCAAGTGTTTAAACTATTTGACATGATGTCTCTGTCATTTATCAGTTTTCTTTTTTCGAAGAAATATAAAAAAAAAAAAAAGAAAGAATTGTTGTAAATGATCTCTGGTCTTTTTCATTTTTGATCGATACACATCTATCGATTGTTTGACAACAAACATGAATGAATAAGAGATTAGAACGAAAGGCCTAAGCTATTTTATATAGATATGATCAAACGATATTTTGTCGTCTCGTCTATCGTACAGGTGTGAACAACTCATTAGTATTTTGTCTACTGCTGTTCATTGAAGTGACAACAATCTATATTCTATTAAAATACAGTTTTGTCAAGGAAGTATATATATATATTCAATGCATACTTATGGAATAATAAGACAATTAAAATAGAAGAAAAGAAAAACACATCTTTCTTCCGAATAGTGCACTTAAAGCTATATATGAACAATAACAAAATCTATTCCCTATGTGAATAAAATTTTCCTTTTTCTCGATTTCATATGTTTGTTTGATGTTATTTCAAGTGAATTCGCTAATATTATATTGCCCTATGGTCAATGATTAACTAGTTATTTAGATGAAATAAGAAAAGAGCATATTTCTTCTTTCACTTGTATCGAAAGCATTAAAATCAAAATCCGCTCATCATTCGTTTGTTGTCCATATGCATGTCAAATGAGTTCAATGAGTAATGACGCGTGTATTTAAATTTAAAATTGAAATAAGCCATTCTCTGTCATTGTGTTAAACATGTTTGTCACACTTGATTGAACGTTTCATTTTGAAACAAATAAAAAAAAAAGAAATCTCATGAAAATGAACTCAGTCAAATGACAATAAAAACTAATCGAGCGACAATTTTTTTTGCACAACTTCAATAGAATTATATTTCCTTGTTATTTAGATATTTGAAACATATTGATGTTGAATATGATTGACAGACAAGCAACAATCTTCCTTTCAATGAATCGATCAATCGATCGATCGGCAATGAAAATAAAAATCATAATTTTCCTATACTACTTATAGATCTGTCTATCTATCTATCTGTCTGTCTATCTGTCGATGTCTGTTGTCATCAATTACATTTCTTATGATGATCAATGAAGAACATTGAATACCTACTGTGTTTAAGCAGACAGAAGGACAACAGTCGTGTTTTTACAGTCTTATTCTCATTTACAATCAAAACAAATATGTTCAATGTTCATCGTTCTTTTTACATGTTGATAGACTATTATACTTCCAGCTGAGATCAAATAATGTATATATTTTGACATATGTATATAGTTTAATGTGTTAAGAAAAATCAAAATTTTTAACTACATTTTGTTATTGTTATATGTGCTTTTCGAAAATCAAATATCCATTTCATTGGAATGAATATAGCCTGAAGGTGTATAATGATATTGTTATGCTTATACACATTTATTTTTTGGAATGTTGTCTATCTAGAGATTAAGAATACATATGTGTTGATGTATGTGTTAGATTAAAATGTTATGAATTGTTTATTGAATAGAATAGTTCCATGTTTCGAAAAAGAAAGAAAAGATTCGATAGATAGATTTGATACAAAAGATCAAAGTTAGTAGTTTTAAATGATTAAAACGACGATCATTAAGTATGATATTTTATTGATAAATATATTCATAATGAAACTAACTATTAAGTTGTCAAAATGTTCATTTATCATTCGTGTTATCAAATGAATAATGATTTATTTATGTAAAATTGTTTGTTTAAAAGATGTACCGTTTTTTTTTGTGGGAGGTAAAATCAATTGTAAAGAAGACACATTTCTGAATAATACAAAACGAATTCAAATGTATTGAAAACTTCAAACGTCTCAATAATCGATTTTTTTAAAAAACTTTTCATTATCTAAACGGATATAACAAGTCAATTTGATCAATATTTGTGTTCTTTTGACTTAATAACTATGTTGAATGACAACTGAAGAGGGCGTCACATACCGACACATTTTCAAATTTTATCAAAAAAAGTGTTATCATACAAATATAAAGAATTCGTCGGATTAGGTGTTATCAACACCTTTCATTTATCAATATGTATAAACATATATCTATATATTCTAATTATATTCTTAAGACAATGCAGACAGAAAGAAAATAAATACCCAGTATGTTGAATACTAATATATTTTCCAAAATGAAACATTATGATTTTGACAATCAAAATGTAAAATAGCATAAAGACTAAACAAAAAAAAAATTAACTACTAAATAAGACAAACAATTATATTATGTTCGAGCTTGAATATGTTCTTTAATAGTCGCATTAGGATTTGAAAATCGGACAAGTTTTGGTGAATCACTTGAACCAAACCGAAACATATGAGATACCTATATACAAATAAAAGACAATGGTTAGTTAATAAAGAATATTAACGATAAATTTGTATACTTGAAAAAGTAAAGCAAATGATCCAAATATTGTGACTAATAAAAAGATAACAAATTGAAGACGATCAATGACTGTTGCAATAAATTTCCATTCATCACGTATTGATTCAATAAAAGATTCATGTGCACAATGTGCAGCTATATAACGAATATCTTGAAGAGCTTGAGATAATTCTCGTCGCATTTGTTGAAGTTGTAATCGATGATGATCACGAGCTGGATTTGATTTTGGCGGAACTGGAACAAGACATTGTTCGTCTTTGAATAGAAGAAATTTTCGTTTTTCTTTTTGATAATGAGAATGATGATGTTTAGAATGTGAAATTGGTTTAATAAGAATAGTTGATGTTCGACGTTTATCATTAATATAGGAAACCAATGAAGCATTCGATTCATTACGTACATGATGGGTCTTTTAAAAATAAAAAAATAAATAATCGAACTATTCAAACTTATTCAAAAGATTCGATATGATCATCAAAGTTTGAAACAACTACAATTAAATCATACCCGAAAATCTTTTTTCCAAAGATAACAACGTCATAATTCAATAGAACATTAAGGTTGACTGTTTATTGTTTTATATTTCCCCTTTGTATTTATCTATGTCATTAAATAAATACCTTATCTATTTTTTTTGATTTTGTTTTATGTTTCTTTTTTATTGTTTCATTTAATGTATGAATAGGATTTTGAAAAATAACTGATTTATCAGTATTATTAATAACTGTTGAAAGTTCAAATTCTTCACGTTTTTGTCTTAATTTTGGTGATTCCATCCATAGTAAACGTGGAAGTATTTGTATAAAAACACGTCTTAACCAAGGAGAGATCGAATGTGTCATTGGTGTACGATAATAAAAATTTGTAATAATTACTGTATTTACTTGACAGAAAAAAAATCAAATAAAAATCTTTTTTCTTTTAGAATTTTCTTGCTTAACTCTTACCAATAACAAGAACATTAAGTGTAAATGTAAAAAGTAAATATTTAGCTATTAATGGAACAACAGCAGATGTTGGTGGTAAAATTTTTGTAACAAGAAGTTGAAAAAGATTTAAGGCTAAGAGAATTGACATACATAACGTCATTTTTTCTCCGGCTGCTGTTGGTAAACAAAAAACAATACATATAAGAATACCCATTAAACCTGTTGGAACAATTAAATTAACTGTATAATATAATGTTTTACGACTCATTTTAACTAAAAATACAATTTCAATATAATCAGGTGATACACTTGAATCATTCGTACGATAATGAACAAATTTACTTGGAATCTGCGAATAAAGATAAATAATAAATTCAAACTTTTAAACATTTTCACATACACTTAAAACATCCCAAGTACCACTTTCAAGATAATCATCTTTATATGATTCATCCGATGTAACACTTATTGCTTGTTGTGTTAATAATTTAGATATTTCCTGGCCTTTATCACGTTCTTCACTATAATGAGTAAATGTTACTTCTCGCGCATTATATGTCCATGATGCAAAACGCATTTCACATTCTTGAGTATCAAATGGAAAATATTTTACATCAATACGACATGATGATTTATAAATTGCTGGTGGAACCCATTGAACTTCACCTGTATGCATCAGAACTACTTTTGACTTAAATGATACTTCATAATTTCCATCTATGTATGAAAAAATATCAAATAGAAAATCATTGATTAGTAAAAAAAAGTAAGATTATACCTGCATTATTGAATAAGACTACATCCTAAAAATAGAAAAATATGAAAACAAATTTTGTTAATAAAGATTCGGAGGATTTTTTTTATTGTGCAATTCAAATGCAGTTCCTATGGTATAAAATAGATTCACTTATCAGTGAATCGAAACTAGTAAAATCCATGTCAAAATTTCCATCTGAAAATTGAATAATGTTGTCTTATGTTATTCACATACTCCTATTTACTGTTATGTATCTATATATCAAAGCAATTGTATTTGACATGTTACATAATGATTTTCCTTATGTCAACGTCTTATTTTATCACTGATTAATATTTATATAGAAAAGCGTGTGAAGATAATTCAGAATAAAAACAAACTACAAGGCTATAACTTTCATCATTGAATAGAAGAAATCAGAATGTATTGGATCGTATATAATAATTTTTTTGATATATTATATGAAATCAGTTTAGTAATGAGAAGTGACACATAAGTGATCTCGTAGAAACACAAGAAGAAAGACAAGAAAAAATATTTATTTTCTCAAATATAAATAAAAGAAAAGATCGATGACTTATGAACAGTTAAATAAAGAAATTCTGAACCATAGAGTCTTGTAGATCTTCGTCTGATAGTATGAAATACATGTGATGATTAAAAATTCACTATAGTCATCTAAATAACTTACAGGTGTCCAAACATTTGTATGAGGAACACTAATTTGATCGACACCACCTACAAAAGAAAATTTCAATCTATTCAATTAAATAATTTTCAAACCATATCGTTCGGGATTCCATCGTAATTGTGAATCATACCTGAAATGATTATATTCATTATTTTTTAATTTTTTTAATTTTTAAATTACCATTTCATATGTAACCATGTATTCGTTTTCATAATCTGTTCTTTTTCATAAACCTATAAATAGTTTAAAAAACAAAACATTTAAATATATACTTATATAATTGAAAATTTACATGAATTAATTGTACTAATAAAAGACCAAATGATACGACAACTGTTTCATTTGAGTGTTGAGTTGGTCGTACAAGTGGATTATAACCTTGTTCAGAAAATAGGTAATGTACAAGACGATTTTCACCTTCAGATGTTTGAACAAATTGAAAAAAAATATCATTACCACCACAAATAATGATGATCACTAGTACATATATGATCGACATACACTTAAACAAGTTCTATTACACCATATGTATAGTAATAGAATTTGTCATTTGAGGAACAAAATGACAAGAAATGATTAGATAATGATGGGTGTCAGCTGCCGCTATGATAATCACAAAAAATGAATTGTTGTGACTTAGAAGAAAAAATTCAGTTGAGTAATGGAAGAAAAAAATCTTTTCGTGATTTTTCTACGATTATTATTGTAATAATTAGTTTCATTATATATATTCATCATATCTTGCATTATTATTGAGCTATGGAAATTCATCGTTTGTCTATTTCTTGTTCATGACTAGATAAACATGTCGTTTTCTTTTCCTCTCTTTTTTTTCTTTTTTTTCGAAAAGGAACAACGGTAATAATAATAAGAAAAAGAAGTCAAATAATAAAATTCTATGTATGCCTTGTTTGTTAAAGATGATCAAGGTCGATCTAAAAAAAAAATACTAAGAGGAACAAAAATATATACGGAAAAAATTTCTTGAAGGAAAGATGAATAGGAACTCTTCGAAAAACACATAGGAAGTCAAATAATCGAAAGAAAAAAAGAAGGATTGAGAACAGCACATCTTCACATACAAGAGCAAGATAAACGATAGATAATCAATTCGACCAAGTGGCTCCGTTCGGGAAGAGGTTATTAGCATACAACAAATAAGATTAACTCAAAGTTTACTTTATTCTATTTTTAATTTACACAATTAACCAGTCATGTTCAGCAAAATATGATTTTCTCAAGAGGAAAGAAAAAGAAAAAAACATAGTCTAGCATTTTCTTTATATAATTCTATTAAGATTAGCCATGATTATTTTTTACAATAACAAACAGGGCCCCAATAATCATTCATACACATACAATTTGTTCTTTCACAACAATCATGTAATTGACATGAAGATGTACATCGACGAGATCGTTTTAATAAAAAAATTTTATTAGTTTTTCTATTCTTATTCAGTCTCTTTTGTATTTGTTGATTGTTTGTTAGAGTTGAAATAACATTTAGTCGATGATTATATATCGGTTGAGATGTAACAATAAAATTTTGTAATACTTTATTATCGATATAATTAGGCAAAGTTATTAATATAATCAATAAAGTAATATTCATTTGTATTTTATTTTACTTCTAATAAGAATTCTAGTTATTTCGTTACTATGTATATTTTATGTATAATCTTTTCTTTTTAGTTTTTAATTAATATAGAATAAGAATATTATTTATTTGAAAACTAATGAAAAATTCAGAATTTGTTTATTATATAATAGAAGAAGGTATAGATAAATGAAAATGAAAAGAAAATAGATTCACTTTTTTGATAATCACTAAAGAAGAAGAAGAGTTAATCAGCAAATAATGGCAATCCATAGGGCTTGTTTATGCGTCGTTCACGACGTTGTAATACATTATTTTCAGGAAATGGAGTACGTACTGGTGAAACATTTGGTGATGTCTTAGCAACAAGTGTTTGTGTAAAATAATTTTCTTTTCGTACATCATAATCATCTGATTGTTCAAGTGTTAGTTGAGGACGATAATCATAAGAACCAGGAACATGACCATTTTCATCAATGACTTTCTTTTTAACAGCTTCGGAATCGTATTTATCCATATCAATGCTAAACGGAACGTTTCCTGGTTTTTCTGTCAGCCATTTTGGCGCCGGAGTGGCTTTTCGGCTAATTAGACTTTGTCGTCTACAATGAGGACAATGATTACAATAATAATGATCATGTCCATGAGGTGTTGCTGAACTACTTTGATCAGCACCTGTTTGACGTCGTTCAGATGGCACTGCAGGAGTTACAGTTGAAGTACGTGTCGATGAACGTGTTCCTGATCTGTTAGCCGATTTATTAATATGCGGTAATGCAATATCATCACCATCTTGAGGACTATTATTATTCGATTCACGAACTAAAACAGACATGAAATATTTATTAAATATACAAGATAGTATGCTGATTAAATATATATATACATGAAGCAACATGTTTATCGTCAATAGGTGAACTTGTCATTCTTCTATCAACAGTTCGTTGACTATGTTTTGATGGTGCTGGACTAGCTATTCTAGATAATGTTCGATCAGGTTTAAAACCAGATGGTTCATTAATAGGTGAAGGAGACGTCGTCATTGGTGAAGATCTTTGTATTGGACGATTGTCGGGTACTTGTTGTTGTACAGGTGGAAAAGTTGATTGTACTGGTTGATTGGCATTAGTTGCTTGTTTCTTACTTGAACCGCCACCCATGTCTGTAATTTGACTTTGATCGACGAGTAAACCGATGAAATCTTAATAAATGCGACTGTCACAAACGGTTAATGTATATCAACCTACGATCAGAAAGATAAGAATTGTATAATAGAATATAAAAAGAAAGTTAAATATGCATTTATTCTTAAGAGCAATAAAAAAAGAACAAAAAAAACCTGTTGAATGCTATGGTTTCGGTATCCTGAGTCAATGATATTACTTTTCATGCTAAGAAAATAAAGTATCCTTGAGCAAGAATATATTTGATTTATGATTGTTGAAATAAATCTTTTTTCTTTTATAGCTGAAACATAATGACGAAGTACATTTCTCGAATATAAATTGTTATTTAGATGACAAAACAAAAATCTTTCGCAAGGAATATTTACTGATTAGTTATGTACTACACTCAAAATAATATAATATTCAACTTTGAATCTCTTAACTGAATCATAAAATTTCAAACTACTCGGGTCTTTTTTTCCAATAAAATTTAGTTTAGTTTATAAATCTTCAAACATCTGTTATGAAATAAATAATTAGAAGAACTTTTTTTACTTCATGTGGAATTAAAATTTAATAGACATTTAGATCGATTGAATACATCTGATGCTTTGATTTTTATACAGATAAAAACAATTGTAAAAAAATCAAGTACATCATATTTTTTCTCAGCTGTTTTATTAAAAAATAAATATTTCAAAACAACATGAGGTTTAAGTCAATTCATGAGAATTTAGTAGAGATTGTATTTATTGATTCAAAGTATTTATGGAAGAAAAGCATTCCTTGTTTTTATCTTTCTTTTTTTTTATTAAAGTTAAGATTTGTTTTATATACTGCTCCAGTCCTTTCAATATCTGTTCAAGTGCTGCCGTAAACATTTTGTCTACTCTGAAGATTAGAGGTATACAGTTGAAAACATAAGTTTATTAATTGTTTGAGGTTTTCTCTTGTTTTTGCAATATATATTTCATAATTTCACATAGAATATTAGAAATAATGCTGTATGTTTTCAAACAAAATCTCATTAGACAATCCGTCATTTCAATATTAAAAGTTTGAATTCAATTGCTGTTAATTTTCGTATGTACCATAGTAACGGTATATAAAGTGTTACTTTCAATTAATTTAACAATCATCACATCATTATCTTAAGTAAAGATACAATTTTTTTTTCGCTTGAATGCAACTTTGCTAATTGTACTTGAAAATTAAATTATTCTTGTTAACAAGATATAGCGAACAACTGTTATCGGTTCTCACAAATGTACGTTCTATAATTTATAAAATAGAATCATTCATTTTAGTCCATACGCTCTAATTGTCATCTTTGTTGGCATGTATATTTATATGTCCAAGATTGAGATCGACTACATATGAACACCGCATGACAGATGGATGGATTCGTATCCAACAAAATTGAAATTAGATATATCTGTATAGATTTAATGTACATCTTGATTGTCTATCATCAAGATATAAAATTTATCTTCTAACTGATGGTTTATGTCACCATGTGTATATATACATACATATGATCCAAGTATATATTTGACAAAAACAAGAACAAGAATGATTATAAAAACAAAGATTCACTGTTACAAAAAATAAAAGAAAACAATTTTTTTTTTGTTTTTTTAAGTTCGTCTCATATACAAAGCGCCAAGTGTGAACATACCTAGAAGAAAACAAAAGATGAATAAATTCATGCTGAGCATATATAATTAGTTTTATTCTTTAAAACTGGATAGAGCACATATACACGTTTGGCTTGTTATCACATTAGCGTCGTAGGTGGGAGAATGAAGATTCATGCATCTTGATTGTTTAATGGATTGTCACTACTGCTGTGTTCAGGGCAAAAGCTATTATCCTCTCAATATATATATATATATATATCACATCTGGCTAGTGGACTCATTTCTTCCTCCCAAAGGCATAATGTTGTCACGCATACATGCCTTTTCTACTAATCTGTTGTTCTAGCACATATCTAATCACCTGCCCTATATGACACGCCTTTTTTAAGGATTCCTATTCGATTAGTATGTATAGAGTATACAAAAGAAAAAGACCATATACTAACCGATAGTTCCAAGAATAGCCATACCCCGACCAATTGAATTTCGTCGTTGCACTCTATTATCAAATTTCTTCAAACAACCATCCTTTAAAAAATAAAAAAATAAATTTTATCATATTTTGATAGAAAAAAATATATAAAACTATTTTTTACCCAATAATTTTGACTTTGAAGCCAAGCTGCAAGATCTGTATCAATATAATCCGTTGTCCAATCAATTATAGATGAAATAATTGTATCTGGTGATAAACTATTTATTCCTTGTGGTTGTTGTAGTTGTTGTAAAGTACGTTCAGCTATTACAGCTGACCATGATATAAATGTTATAATATATGCCCATTTCATCACTCCTCCATTAAATAACTCATTTGCTAGTTCCCTATGAAAATGTCTAATATTATTTAATGTTTGTAAATCAACAGTTGGTGATGAAAATAGCATATTAAATGCTGGTTGTTGAACATGATAGCTTGCTTCACATTCAGGACCTATTTGACGTACAAGCAAAAATAAACGATTATCTGTTATTGTTCTATTGTTATTTAAACGCCAGTCGAAATAATCAGTTACAATTGAACGAGTTGTTGTTGGACTATCATTTGCACCCATATTATTAAATATATTTTTGAAAAATAATATTAATAATAATAATAGTAATAGTTTGATATACAGTTAATGAAGAATTTTTTTTATAACGACTGCTGTTTCATTTGTAAAGTGATGATGATGACGGTGGCGGTCAATGGTAGCAATGAATAAGAAAACGCGAGCGTACGTCTATGAAACAAAAAAAAGAGAGAACAGACAAAAAAAATTGGACAATCTTTTCCTCTCTTTCTCTCTTCTTTCGTGCTCGCGATCGCTATGTTCTCTTCTATTTTCTTTCTCCTTTTCTCTCAGTTTCTGGTCGTCCGCATTGGATGCATAATCTTAAGACGACAATGTTCATGAACAACATACGAGCGAAGGCTAACGTGCGCGGACGTTCAACCGTCAATGTATATACATACATATATATATGTTCAGCTGCTTACTTAGCAACCAGACAAGTGTCGATATCGACAAATAAACAAAAATTTCGTAGAATTACAAAACAAAAAAAAAAGTATAATTTCTGAATGGACAACGGAATTTTTTCAAGGATACCTGAAGTAGGAAATAAATAGTAAATAAGTACAAAGAAAAAGGACACAATGCCGCTATCGGATATCCGTAATGATCAAGTAGAGAGAGACAATAACATGCGATGGCGGATAGTTTTGATGATGGATTGAACATATTCATTGCAATTATCTTTATTAGAAAAAGTATCAGCGGTTGTGTGCGTGTTTGTCAAATGAAAAAAGAATATAGATAAACGAATCTTTAAAGCTTATCGCATTCTTTGCTTTATTTAATGAATAACAAAAAATTTAATCTCTAAAGAATCGAATTGATGATCGTATATAATTCAAAGAAAAAATTCATGGAATTTTCCTCATCTTAGATTTTTAATGACTATGAAATAAAATCATACGAAAGAATGTTTAATTTGTTTCGATTTGATCATTCAGATGACATTGTTTGATTCAACACGTTCTATATGATGAACACACCTTAGATATATTTATAGATATTCAATTTATTTACATAACTCTTTTGTGTCGGTAAAAGAAAGTAATTAAAATATTGGCGTGAACAATACACACACAAAAATATATCTTCTTCCCATGTACATTCATTTCCGTGTATAATGTCTAGTCGAATAAGAAGAAAGAAGAAGAATAGAGAATGTGTTCGATCGATCGTGGGAATCTACACTTATTTGATAGTTCATATGATATGGAATGAGAGAAAACAAAATATGAGAAGAGCATCTTGAAAAAAAAAGAGATGATGTGAAGAAAAGATGATAGACGATACCATGTGTATTCTGTTTCTCATTATAATAAAGCGGAGATCAACATCGAAAGTCTTTTTTGTTTAAATCATTTGAATAAATGGACATAATACATGATTAAATAGCAATTTGATAAACAACGAAAAAATGGTTGAAATACAAAGAAAATAAACAATGTTTTATTTGATCCTATTTACATGAAGATGATTGTCTTAAAATACGGTCAAATAGAAAATCATTTTTTACTTATAATATAAATAAATATGTTTTTACGATAGATTGAATTGTTTTCTTACAAACTTTCGACGAATATTAAATTATATCGATAGATTTATGGAACAAAAGAGGATTATAAAATAGTATTTGATTTTATATAATTAGGCATTGTTTTGCTTTGTCAATATATATGGTCTATTCTAATTTTAAAATCGATACAAGAGAATAGAGAGTATATTTATGTATATACTTAAATAAATGATAGTAAGATTTAAAAACAGCAAATTAGATAATAGACGCCTGAAATGATTTATGCGCATTAAGAATGGTTGCACTTGTATGACTGCATTATTGTTTTATTGAAAAAGAAAACATAACATAAAGTGATTAATTGAATATTGTACTGATTAGATACTAAATTTAAAAATCTATGAAACACTATATTCATATACAAGAGATTCAGTGACGTAATGCAAAGAAACAGGCGAGTAGTTATTATTGAATAAAAATGACGTCAACAGAATGTTAAGGAATACATAATAAAATTAGATAGACATGTCATTCTAAATAATATAATATCTTATAATATTGATAAGCATATATTATTGTTTAGAACCGGAAATATGGCATAGTCGAATATTAAGAGAAAACTCATGAAGTTAATCTTTTAAAAATAATTATATAGATGTAAAAATTCCAGTCATTTTCAAATTACCAAAATATTTCCGTTGTTATAAATGAATTAACATAAAATAGTTAATATATAGTCAGTCACGACAAGGTAAATTAACCATTTTAACATACAAATCTTAATTAAAATTTATCTCGGAGATTTGATTGTTCTATTTTGAACAAATCAATAATATAAAGTACAAATCATACAATAAATAAAACTAAGCTTTTATTTAAAATTTCGTTATTTATAAATAATTTCATTCACACATCGATGCAAAAAAAAATTTCTCACCATATTATTTCAAATTTGTTTACAGATGCATACTCAAATATGGAAATACTAAAAGGTAGACATAAATTTAAAAAACAAAATCTGGATTGATTGCGAATACAAAGCATTGGAATGATTAAATAAAATACATAAAAATATTACAATCACACAAAATACAACAAAAATTAGGAATTTATTATTGAGATTCAAAAACAATAAAAGATCGAATGTAATAATTAATCATTATATGTATATATGATGATTTTTCTTAAAAAAGTCGTTTTTCAAAAGAATGGAGATTATGCACACCACCTTCAACTTGAGCTGAAGCTGTACGTTTTTCAACTTTAATTACACCTTGATTTGTCTGTTGATGTAATTGTACAAGAGATTGACAACCAATATCTTGAAGAGATTTTTGTATACCAGTATAAAGATAACCACCAATAAATCGATGAACACTACCCTTGTCAACAACACTACCAGAAACACCTTGTGCTACTTTTATGTGATCAGCTTCAGAATAATATCGACTTGCTGCAGATAATTCCTTACATGCATTCATTGCATCAAGACTACCCATACCACGATCTATGAAAACAAAAAAAACTTCATGTAATATATTCATATCGTTTAATAATAATCATATTCAATTCTATAATTGTTAATTTATCAGAATAATAATTAGTTTTTCAATAAATATAATATTATTATTATTTGGAAAATATAAAAAATCTAATTTACTATACCTTCATACTGACTAAAATTTTCAGAAATTTTTCATATAAGACTTATATTTTGTTCTTTTATTAACTTACATTTTTTAAGTCTAACACCATCATGATAAAAATACTCTCCTGGTGCTTCCTGAGTACCAGCTAATAATGAGCCCATCATAACACAATCAGCACCTAATGTTAATGCTTTAACAATATGTCCAACACATGTTACTCCACCATCAGCTATAACAGGTATATCATATTGATGTGCATATTCAGCTACTTTATATACAGCTGTTGCTTGAGCACGTCCAACAGCCATAACTTCTTGTGTAATACAAATTGATCCACTACCCATACCAACACGTAAAGCATCAGCACCAGCATCAATTAAACTTTTTGCTTGTGCTTGTGTAACAACATTTCCAGCAATAATTTGTAAATTTGGATAATTTGTTTTAATATGTTTAATCATATCTATTTGATAAATTGAATTACCTTGTGATGAATCAAGTACAATAACATCAACACCAGCTTGTACAAGACTTTCAAGACGTTTTTCATCTTCTTTTCTTGTACCAACAGCAGCTCCACATAATAATTGTCGACGACTATCTTTTGATGCTAATGGATAATCACGATTTTTTTCTAAATCTGTACGAGCTATTAATGATACAAGATTACCATCAGAATCAATAATTGGTAATTTTCCTAGAAAAAAACAATATTATTATAATTAAAAATTCAATACTAATAAGATTTATTGTTTTTTCTATAAGATGATGTTTGAAATTTAAAGGTTTCTTTAGTTAATGAAAAAAGAAATCTTTGAAATAAAATTTTCTTTACACTATACGAACCTTTTTTACTTCGTTGTAAAATAGTATATGCATCTTTAAGTGTTAAATCATTTTTTGCTGTTATAAGATCATCAATTGATGTCATTACTTGACTCACTGGTATAGTTGACCATTGATCTTTATTTAAAAAATCAATATCACGAAATGTTATAAGACCTAATAATTTGCTATTTATTTTTCCATTTTCAGTCACTGGAATACCTTTTAATAGAAATAAAATCAAATCATGTAGAATATATATACGAAAATCTTTACCGGAAAATCCATGTGAATTTTTAATAGCATAAATATCAGCCACGGTATTTGTAGGCGAAAGAACAAGTGGATCAGTTATAAAACCTTGTTCATAACGTTTAACACGCCTTACTTCACTAATTTGATAATCAATTGAACAATTATGATGAATTATACCAATTCCACCATTGAGTGCCATTGCAACTAAAATTAAATTAAAAATTTTATTTGTTTGTTTTTCTCTCAATCTCGAAATAATTCAATATTTCTATATTAATCTTACTAGCCATTGTTGATTCCGAAACTGTATCCATTGGACTTGATACAAATGGTGTTTTAATTGTAATTGTTTTTGTAAGTTTAGATGTAAGTGATACATTTTCTGATGAAAAATCGATATAACCAGGTAATATTATAAAATCATTATATGTTAAACCATCATTATTTTGAAATAATTCTTTTATTGTTAAACCATCAGAAATATTTTCATTAATACTACTATTTCCAATCATTGTTTTATTTGAAATAGTAGACAAAAAAAACAAAAAAAAAATATAATCTGAATATATACGAGATGTTATTGAATGTTTTTATGGTTTCATCTAATAATTAAATTGTTTTACATTGATAGTAACGCAAACTAGATTAATTGGATTGGCTTAGTAGGTTTTAGCAAATCGGAATCCATTGCATTGAATCATCATATCTTCTCTCTTTTTTGTTGTTTTTTCGATTGATTTTCTCATTTTTTTGCT